TTTTTATGCCATAGCTTGTCATTTTTGTGTAGGATAGTTTACTTACCCAAATGCCATGAAATTTTTATGGTAGTCTACTTAGAGTAGTACTATGCTACTGTAATTTTCTTAGATTTTTATAAGCACCAGAAATATAGGTTGTTGTTGTAGCCTTAGTTTAAAAAGAAATAAAATAATCCTCTTTAATGCAAGATTGTTTAATAATAATAGCTTTGGTGTATCTTTGAAGCATTTGATAAGATGTGTTGACTTAAACATATTAGTAGTAGAAGAGAATGCCGTAGATGACATGTGCTTGTAGTATATTTTCTTGGATGATGTTGACTACCTTGCATTCAAACATATTCATTGTATTCATCTCATTCGATGCACCGTTTGCATAATCCCTTACGCGCATTGCATCATACTGGGATCGCAAACCGAGAACCCGGTCGTCATACCCGAGGAGCCGAGAGGAGCTCGAGTCGAGTGCAAGCGAGGAAGTGCCGAAGTCGGCGAGGAGGGACGTTGAGGAACTTCCGGAGTGCCCCGATCACCGTCCGAAGAGCTCCTTCGAGAGAGGCAAGCCCGAGAGCATTTTTCTCCGGTTTGCAATTATTTAATTAAATGCTTTACTTAAATTGATGCATTACGTTCAGGAGTTGTTTGCAACCGTTCTTTGCATTATACCTTGTTTACCTTTGTTATACTATATCCTTGTTACCCTAGTATCCATGAATGAGTCAATGCTTATTTGGCTTAGACCGGTAGAAGTCGGGTGATTTTACATCACTGCGAGCTATAGGTGGTTACCGGATCTGCTTGGATGGCTATGAAGTCATGGTATAACTAAGTGTTAAATGAAGTTGAGACCGGGCGGAGACTTGCGAGTTTTGGAATTTGTAGTGTTTCGTCGGTCGATTAAGGACCGACCGTTGTTGGGCCTCGAGTCATGTTGAACGCATGCCTTACATTTAATTTGGCGGATAAAGTACCTTCCGACCGCTGAAGCCGGGAGATTTTTCGGGCCGAGTAGATTGCCCGCAGACAAGATCTTGTCTTAGAGAGCAGTGTGGTAGGACACGGGCGGGATGATAAGACCAAAGTGCGATCGGTCGGCCCCGGTACATGTGGTTCTGGCAAACTCGAGATATACGGAAAGTTGACTCGGTGATCAATATCTCACTTTAGCGGGTGAGTGAGATTTGTGTAAGGAATAAATCACCATTTGGTTAGGAATCGATTGAATCGCCATCGCTCTGGATAGTGAGCACTTGACTTGAGTGACTTCATCGTAGTAAATGTTTATGGAACACTTGAAGCAGTTATAGTGAATATGACAAGTATGGAAGTTGTTTAATGCTCGGTGGTTATCATTAATTGCTTAATCACATGTTTACTCTAGTATAGATGCAAATCTAGTCGATAGGTTAATAATAATTAAGTTGACAATAATGCCTTTGAAAAGTTCTTGAAATGCTAAAATGCTTCTTTTCGCAAATGAGTCAGCTACCCTACTATAAAGCCTTCATAATCCTTGGTGTCATTTATTTTCGGTTATATCGGGTAAGTCTGCATTTGAGTACCTTCTCGCACTCGTGGTTTTATTCCCACTTGTTGCGAGATGGGCGAGATGTATTACTGACTCTTTGTATCAACTGCCTTTATCCTGCGATGGGTGATGCTTAGGACCATGGGCATGGTCGTTCCTTATGTCTCATCTGATGCTTTTGTTGGAGATGATCATTCGCTGGCACTCTATTTAAACTCCGTGTGTGTGTAGTTTGAACAAATGAATTCCGCTATTTTCATTCGAACTGGTTTGTAATAACTATGTTGAAACTCTGATGTATTTGAGATCGCGAACTTTTATGTAATATGTGATGGTGACCGCTAAACTTATTACGATCATGGCTGGGACACGAGTTGGTTTGAAATCCTTTGTGATTTCACGGACTACCGGGTTATACGGGCTTAAGTTTGTTCAATCGTCTGCTCTGGTGGATGATTCTCTTACTTAATTTCGTATAATTGGTCGGTTCTGTTACACCCCTGCAGGTAGCTGGAGTATGCGCTCCGACGGGGAGGAGGTCGTGCCGATGTCGTCCATGGCGTCGCAGAAGTCGGCGCGCCTTTATGCGAAGGAGCTCGTGTGCCGACATCGTCCATGGCCTCGCCCTCGCGAGAAGCGGCTTTTCGCCGCCGTTGCGGCAAAGAACTTTTTGTGCCCTAACTCGATCTGTTACAACTCCGCTCCTATCGGCGGGCACTTTCGGCGTGGTGTTACGCTTGGAGCCGAGCCGAGCATTGACCGAGCGCGGGGACGAGGCGTTACCCAAAGCAAAGCGTCGCGATCGCTTCATCCATGGCGTTGATTCTTTTCCCATGCCACACATCGACATCACCAGCGGGACGAGGCGTTGTTACCAAAGAACATCAGATGGCGGTGGTTGTGTGAGAGAGAAATATCATGGGTGGTTGATGAATAGCGCCGCTGTGAGGAGGAACCAGCCGGCTGGTCTGGAAACCAGACCAGCGAACGGCACCAATAAGTCCATATGAGGTACAAAACTTTTTCATACTAAAATTCACACAATCATCTCATTCCATCACTAAGAACAATATAATAAAGAGTTGTAAGTGAGCTTTATGTCGAGGTAAAGCAGAGAGAAGAGAACTTACTATAAGTTTATTGCCACTTTGTCAGGTGCTGGCTAATATTCGAGCTCAAAAAACAAAAACTCTACTAGAAAAGAAAATGAACCATGTATTACCGATGAAGTAAGACCTAGCAACCAAACTATTTATATAGACGTGCATACAGTTAAATGTATATATAACCAACAGTGAGTTGTATTATTAACAAGCAAGTTAATTTAGTCTGTTGCTAGCTAAGCCAGTATAATAGCCAACTCATATAGTAACAGTCTTCATTTTAGCACCAATTTAATGTGGCAACTCACTAATAAAAGGAGTATACCACTTTATTATGTTTGCTCTCAAACATTGTTTGACTCCTCACAAAGGAAAACCTTCCGTGCTTCTGCTATGCTCATGGATCAGTGATCCGTGCCAGGCTCAAAAGGAAGCTAGAGCCGCCAGATCGATATGATATTATTGCAGCAAATTTGACCAAAGTTTGCAACTCGATTAAATGTCAATTTCGTCTAGCTACAATACAAGCATGCTGCCCACTTCCTCGGAACCATCCTTATTCAATTTCCTCATTTTTTTTTGAAAAAAGAAATAAAAGAATTTTGCAAGTTGTCTTGCAGGAGTAGATTGCACTATAGTGGATCCAGTCGTGCCTTAATTGGAACGGGCATTTGTGAAAGGAACGAAGCCCTGTTTATTTTATTTTTCTTTCGTCGCATTAGGTATGCAATCGCGTCGTAAAGTATGCACAATTCACTGGTCGTAAAGTATACTTTTTTTCTTAGGAGTATTACTACCTAGTCGTAGGTGTGATTGGAGTTGCGTCTTGCATCATTTCCATCCCGTGGGGCAGGTTCGATCCGGACACCTGTGATTATATTTGAGCCGAATTATGTTTGCTTGGACAAAACATCTTCACTCGACTGGATCAAACGTTGCTGCATTTATTTATTTCATTCAGGTGAGGTCTACGTAGATCTCGCAACGGGGACATGAGAGAGAGGGAGGGAAATCTTTCGCAATGTAGTTATATTATTAGTGCTACAAGTATCATAAAGTCGTAGCAAGATGCGTACGCATAAGGAGGGAGGTGAGTCTCTGCTCTGAATGTAACTGACAGCTTGACACGCTCTCCTCTGAATTCTCTCAAAGCAAAAGGCTTTCCTCTGAATTTTATCTCATAGCAAAGGTACGAATATTCACTTTTCCATAACTGAATAACGTCCATTCACTTCCTCCGGAATAAAATTTGTCTGGACCCTGCTGTTTATCTGATGAAACTGAAGATTCTGAACACTGTCCCGTTCGTAACCCAGAACAACGGATCAATTTTCAGTAAGCCCTTGTTTAGTTGAGGGGGAAAGTTGAAATTTGGTACCGTAGCACTTTCGTTTTTATTTGGTAATTAGTGTTCAATCATGGACTAATTAGGCTCAAAACGTTCGTCTCGTAATTTCCCACAAAACTATATAATTAGTTTTTTTATCTACATTTAATGCTCCATGCATGTATCGCAAGATTTGATGATACTGTAGCACTTTTTTGGAACTTTTTTTGCAACTGAACACCGGCTAAGGCCTCGTTTAGATCGTCCCAAAAGTTTACACCCTATCCTATCAGATGTTTGAACACATGCATGGAGTATTAAATATAGACTAAAAAAATAACTAATTGCACAGATTACGACTACTTTACGAGACGAAACTTTTAAGCCTAATTAGACCATGTTTTGACAATGTGATGTTACAATACATACATGTACTAATGACGAATTAATTAAACTTAATAAATTCGTCTCGAGGTTTACTAACGGATCTGTAATTTATTTTTTTATTAGTATCAAACATTCCATACGAGATCTCATATGACGTCTGATCTGATGCTCTCGAAACTTTACGCCTGAATTTAATCAAGCTAACGCGCTAATGCAGCATATTTGCCCCGGATCTGAAACATCATATCCAACAGTAGCTGCGACTGCCTCAACGTACGGCATGCGGCGTATGTACGTTAACGTGAAACTGAAACATCCATCCATCCGATCCGCGCATCCGGCGGCCCATCTCGGCCGTCGCAGCCACCGAACCGGCACCCGAAATTCAACGCGCTGTCCCACGGGGCCCCCGCCTGCCAGCGACACACGCGCCAGACTCCACTGCTGCACTGTGCAGCCTGCAAGGCAAGCTCCAGCTCCTCCTCCATTTAAGCCCACCCAGCTCACGGAGCTCATCGAAGCCGCCTGCCTCCACCCACCAAATTCCCGAGACGCCGGGCATTCTCACCATCCCCACAAAGCCAAAGCCAAGAGCACCACCAGAGCAGAGCAGAGTCGTCGTCGTCGTTCACTCGGCCGTCGGGCAGCAGGCATGGCGGGGTTCAAGGTGACGCGGATCTCGGAGGGCCCCGTGAAGCCGGCGTCGGCGACGCCCGAGGAGACGCTGCCGCTGGCGTGGGTGGACCGGTACCCGACGCACCGAGGCCTGGTGGAGTCGATGCACATCTTCCGCTCCGGCGCGGACGCGGCGCCCGCCGTGATCCGTGCCGCGCTGGCGAAGGCGCTGGCCTTCTTCTACCCGCTGGCGGGGCGCATCGTGGAAGGGGAGCAGGCCGGGTGCCCCGCCATCCGGTGCACCGCCGACGGCGTCTACTTCGCGGAGGCCCAGGCGGACTGCACCCTGGAGGACGTGCGGTTCCTGGAGCGGCCCCTGCTGCTGCCCAAGGAGGACCTCGTCCCTTACCCCGGCGACGACCGCTGGCCCGTCGAGCCGCACAACACCATCATGATGATGCAGGTATTGGCCGTCTGTCTCTTCATCCCAGCCCGACCGATTCTCTCGCTTGCCGATTGCAGATTGCGCTGCGCGCGAGAGGGATTCGTTGTTCGTCGGGTTAGATCCGAGCACGGGCACGGGCACGCGCAGGCGCGCGGTAGATCTGGGGAGCACTGCAGCAGGGGCCAGGGGCGGGCGACAGGTCAAAAGCCCATGGTCAGAGAAGGCGCGTTCGCCTTCGCCGGGCCAGTTGGGGAGGTTGACCGTGTCGGTAAACGAGGCTGGCAAGTGGGACCAACGCCGCCCGCCGTCGCATAATAATCACCTCGCGCCCCGTCCAAATTTTTATTTTTCCCACCACTTGATGAATCCAAAATTAGAAGTAGCGCGGCGTGGGGTCGGCTAAAATGCAGGGAACGATTAACGGCTATACTGGTAGTACTAGCTGCAGTCATCAGTTAGGGAGATTCCCTCCGTTTCGCACGGGCACAGGCTCTTGTGTGAGAGCGCCGCCGTGGCGGTGGCGGTGAGGGTGGGCGGTGGTCGTTGGCGGTTGGAACGGATGGCCCCGTACTGAATGCGGCGGCGAGGCTGATCCGCGCCGCGCCGATCTGGATATGTCCGTGCGTGGGCGTGAGCTCGCGTCCGTGTTCCCCGTTCCGGTAGACGAGCCCAGATCGTCGGACACGCACCGCGTTAGGTGAGCAGAGGAGAACTTGTAGCGTTGCGTGGATAGCCAGTAGACCACGCCAACGCCACGCATGCGGCCGCAGAACACAGCGACCAATTCCGCCGACAGAAACCACTGCGTCACAAGCGGCGTGACCTTGCGTCGACTCCAATCCAGCCTTCCATCCTCGGTTTGGCCGTGTCGTTGGCGGCTGGTAGGCAGGTCCGCACTGGCGTAGACGGCGGCCGGACTCGGTGCCCGAAAGCGGCGCCTCGATCTGAACGGGAGACGCGTACTGAACTCGTCATGCTCTGACCACGACGCTCCAATCGCCATATGTTGGTAGTGGTAGTGAATCAGGTTCAAAATTTCGGCGAAATTTCGGCCGAATTTTACGAAATTCGGTAATTTCGGTGGTGGCCGAAAGAAAACTCCGAAATTTTTTAATACACTAATACATGTGCTATATAACTCTAATCTTATATTTTCTATTGTTTATATTGCATATTCTTCTATTTAATAGATATGTAGTCATAAATCATACTAATATTTGTTTAGATCTAATTTTTTTTAGAAAAAACATACTTCATGTGCTAATCTCTAAAAAAAATTCGGCGAAATTCGGTAGTTTCGGTGATGGCTGAAATTTTGGCGATACCGAAATTAAAAACCTTGGTAGTGATCATCTTGCCATAAGGCACAAAGTGACACAAACTGTACCTGTGGTGATGCCGACCGGGCATGACCAGTAGCCGCCCGGTCGTTGCCAGATACTAGCGGTAGTTTACTCGTACATGGATGTTGCTTTTGAGCTAAGGCTTCGGCTTCTTTCCTGCTTTCGTCCACGGCCCACCGACAGCTTTGCTTTGGGGTAGTTGGACAAGAGCAGTCTCATGTGTGAGATCGCTCGTATAGATCTTTCAACCGTTCTTTTATCAGCCGAGCGAACAGGGCATACATACTCTTTCTTTACTGTTGTGTGTGACTGATTGCACCGAGAGATGATTAAGCTGCTACTTCAGATTTGACAAACATAACCTGTACAAAAAAAAAAAATGCATGCCTATAGAACTATGACCGATTAATCCATTTAATAATGCTTGAGATCTCGAGCAGCAGGTATGATTTACATGAACTTTGCTGAAGTTCCAAACAAAATTTTTCTTACAAACTAGTAGGCTCAGTGCTGAATGACATTCTTGCATGGTCTCAGATCACCAAGTTCACCTGCGGCGGGTTCGTGATGGGCCTGCGGTTCAACCACGCGTCGGCGGACGGCATGGGCGCGGCGCAGTTCATCAACGCCGTCGGTGACATGGCGCGGGGGCTGACGGAGCCCAAGGTGATGCCCGTGTGGCACCGGGAGAAGTTCCCCAACCCAAACATCAAGCCGGGCCCGCTCCCGGAGCTCCCCGTGCTGGCGCTGGACTACGTGGTGCTCGACTTCCCCACGCCCTACATCGACGACCTCAAGAGGCAGTACAAGGCGCACAGCGGCAAGTTCTGCTCGGGCTTCGACGTGCTCACGGCCAAGCTCTGGCAGTGCCGCACCCGGGCGCTCGCCCTGGACCCCACCACCGAGGTCAAGCTCTGCTTCTTCGCCAGCGTCCGCCACCTGCTCAAGCTCGACAGGGGTTACTACGGCAACTCCATCTTCCCCGTGAAGATGTCCGCGCCCGCGGAGAAGGTGCTCGCCTCCTCCATCATGGAGGTGGTCGACATGATCCGGGAGGCCAAGGACAGGATGGCCGTCGAGTTCTTCCGCTTCGCCAAGGAGGAGATAGACCAGGACCCGTTCCAGATGACCTTCAACTACGAGTCCATCTATGTCTCCGACTGGAGCAAGCTCGGGTTCTCTGAGGTGGACTACGGTTTTGGCCCGCCCATGTTCGCCGGCCCGCTCGTCAACAATGACTTCATCGCCTCCGTCGTCATCCTCAAGGCGCCGCTCCCGCTGGACGGCACCAGGATGCTCGCCAGCTGCGTCACCAAGGAGCACTCGGAGGAGTTCGCCCGTGGCATGAAGGAAGATCTGCCCTGAACTTCTTGTTCCTTATCATAGAGCTGATCGATGATGAAACGGGGAAACTGAGATGAATGGTGACATGATGCTTCTGTTTGGTTAATGCTGTTGTTACTTTTGGTTGTATTTATTTGTCACTTTTATATCTTGGTCAATACAGTGCTACTTTAGACAGCAAATTCGATCTTAATTTGTACCATTTGATATGAGACAGACAATAAAAAGAGTATACCGTCCATTTTTCGGTTGTTTGATGATCTTTCTTGTATGGCTACAATTTTATGGAACAAAGAAATATTAGACAAAATGTAGAAACTCAATCCATTAAAAAACTTGTATGGACGCCGTATTATATAATATAGGGCTGTCTGCAGCGCGACTCAAATCATGGCACGTCGCCATGAAATTTTTGGGCCGTGTCATGCCTCAAACCTTGCACGATAGGCTTTACATCCCTCCAACTAACTGTCGCGCTGGTTTGATTTTCCTCCTTTAACTATAATAAAACCGGTTTTCTGATCTCCCTCATATTTTACAACCGTTTGTTGTTGCACATTTATGATTTGATGATGTTTTTGCTGATGTGGCACTACGTCAAAGGAGGTAAATCAGAGCTACGCCCGAAAGTTCAAGAAGATAAATCGGACTACAAAATATTTTTGAAACAAAAATATCCAAAAATAAAAAACTATCCAAATATTTTTAGTGCAATTTAAAATCTTAAAATCTAATTTAATCTTAGAAAATTAATAGAAAGTTTTTGTTTTACCATGGAAAATTATGCAACTAATTTTAGGGTTTTCATAAAATCAGATCTATCTTATAGTGTCTAGCTTAAAATTGTTTCAATCTTAATGGACTTATTTTGGTGCTTATTTGCTAGTAGAAACTCCTATTTTCTATTATAATTAGTCAACGTTGATCATCCGACCACGAAGAAGCGCCAGTGGAGCATCCTTAGGACAACCTATTTGGTTTATTGGCAACATTGACGTGGCGAAGGTAATGATGTATTAAATGTCTCTTCCGACCTCCATGATGTTTGATCTGGTTCTAGCGAAGGGTCGGTGTGAATATGTTCTATCAAGGCCTTGTATAGATTGGGGTTAGGGATCAGTATTTGGCACTGTAGCACTTTCGTTTGTATTTGATAATTATTGTCCAATCATAGCCTAACTAGGCTCAAAAGATTCGTCTCGATCAGTATTTGGCACTGTAGCACTTTCGTTTGTATTTGATAATTATTGTCCAATCATAGCCTAACTAGGCTCAAAAGATTCGTCTCGTAATTTACAATCAAATTGTGTAATTAGTTATTTTTTTATCTATATTTAATACTCCATGCATGTGTCCAAAGATTTGATGTGATGGAGAGAGAGTGAAAAAACTTGCAATCTAAACAAGGCCCAAATGCTCTTTTTGAAACTTGGAGGTTGATACAGTTATCTTGAGAAATAGTTGTTGACTTTTTTATGTGGCAATTTCGATCTCTTCATTTAGTGGTTGACTTTCAATGTCGTGATTTTGACTTCTTGTTTTAGTCTGTTCTATGACAAGGTCCAATTTCTCTAATACTCTATTCTTGTGATGAAGCAGCCTGTTCGTTTCGGCTGAAACGATCGTGGATTATAAGTCAGAAGTACTGCTGACTGGTTTGGTGTGAGAGAAAAATATTGTTCCAGCTTATAATCTATGATCGTATAAGCTGAAACGAACAGGCTGAAGGATTGTAGGATTATGTTCTTTGGGCCATCCTTAGTTGATGTTTTTTTAGTGCGTACTAAGGGCGCATTTGACGTAGCTCCGAAGGGCTCCGGCTCCCTGCGTCCACCACTGTGCAACACTGTATGTGACTGTAGTAGCCAGAAAATGGCTCCGGCTTTGCCCCAACCCAGACAGGAGCTGACGGAGCTACAATTTTGATGCTGCGGCTGGCTCCGCCACAGTGGTGCTCTGATAAGTGAGCCGAAGCGGTCGAGCCGCACCAAACACTGCCTAAATTTCATTGTCAATGACAACTAGTATTTTCGGTCTTCAAACAAAAAAACATAAAAAAATACAATTCTAGTATATTAAGTACCGAGTCAAACTATTTGATATAGACTAAGTTTATAAAAAAATTCAATATTTATGATATATTTTTATAGCATATATATTCTGTTGTAAATATTTTTTTTAATTTTGATTAAACTTATAATGTTTGACTAAGAATAGAGTTAGAATTGTACTAGCTCCATCATAAATTATAAGGCGTTTGACTATTTTTGACACCAAATTTGACCACTCGTCTTATTCAAAAATTTGTGCAAAATATCACTTCTTTTGTCGTGGCTTGCTTTATTAATAAAATTCTTCAAGAATGACTTAAATTTAACTATGTTTGCATAAATTTTTTTAATAAGATGAGTAGTGAAACTTTGGGTAAAAAAAGTCAAACGTCTTATAATTTAGGCGTGGAGGTAGTATTATTTTTCTAAGGGTGGTAATTGTACCCTTTTCCAGAGGACGTTGTACAGTTGTAGCCATTGTTATACCAGCTCCAAAGCCGCTCTTCGCCGCGCCGCGGGACCTGTGGGCCGTGGCCACCGGCCCACCGCTGTACAGCTACAGCCCCAGTGTTCTCCTCGCCGGCGATGTCGGCGCCACCTGTGCGGACGCTCGCCGACCTTGATGGCGACGTGCTGGCTCACTGCGCCGGCTACCTCGGCGCCCGCGACGTCGCCAGCCTCTCCATGTCCTGCCGCTCCCTGCGCGCCGCCGCCTACTGCGACGCGGTCTGGTACCGCCTCTTCAGGTCGTGACTCTAACGCTTCCCTCTTGTATGATTCAGAATCTGGGATTCATCATCCGCTGGTACATCTCGTTGCGCGTTTGCCTTCGCCTAGGTCAAAATTTAGGGCGCAATAGTTTTCGGCTTGGGTTATCGGTGATTAGTATTTGGACTTTGGAGATGGAGCAGGGTCGGTTAAATCTTGGACAGAGTTTTGTGACTTTCTGGGTCCTATGCTAGTTGTTCTGGTGGCAGCTGGGCCTAGGAAGGCACAAACATGGAGGGGAGGACAATCATTTGGGTTCCTTAATTTTTAATTGTTTGGATCGGCTTTTATTCTAAATCTCCCTAATTTGCAGTTCATAACATGTAGTGGGACAAATCTTTCAATTCCACATTTTTTAGATTTCAGGGATTGTACTATTGTAGCTGTAGAGGATCATCCTTGTGAAACTTGCAATTTATTCATGATTAGCAAGTGCCTTTGAGCAATTCTGTGTTGCACAATCCAGTGATTTTTTCCATAAGAAGACATGATCTTTGCTGCTGGACACAATTACATATGTTTGCTATCGAACACATTTAAGTGACCTAATATGATCTTTATTTTAGGACACTACTCTAACCTTCAGCAAATGTACACAATTTTGTAGTGCCAGAACAAGATCAGTTTTTTTGGTGTCTTTCAGCACTGACTATTCAGAGTGTCTTGTTGTGAAGTGCCTATATGTTGGGGACAGGGAATGACAATGGCAGTGCTGTCTTCCATGACAAATTAGGATGTTGAAGCTTCAAATTAGCAGTGAACAATGTCAAATGGATTATGTAATTCTGTCCAGGGGTTGAGATGTTATTTTTAATGACTATGCACACGGTTTACTTTTAATGCTAAGATACATGAAATTTGATAGTGACATATATTAACAAGAAAACCGTTGGGGTGCATCACTCATAGCAAATCAACCTCTCTATATGGCTTTAGATTTTATATCCTCATTGTTTGTGTCTCTTGTTGGGTCTCATCTGTAGCCTACCTCAACTTGCTTGGGAATGGAAGTCTTTGTTGTTGCTGATAAAAATTGCTATGTTCATCTTATAGCTTACTTATATTTCTTTTGTATAATTATTTAAACATTCAGGGATCAATGGCCATTTGAGAAAGTGCCTTGTGATGCTTTGGGGCTAAGAGAACTATACATCCATAGGCACACTGAAATACATCAGATGAAATTTGGTGACCCCATATCAGCTCTTTATTACTTAGATCCTGCAGAAACAACACCAAGCCATCTAATGCTGGATAGGAACTCCATCTGGTTTTGTCAAGTGAGTTGAAATAACCTTTTTTTTTTGTCTGAACCTACATACGATGTGTAATTTCTTCTTTGCAGGGTCCAGCAGCCAAAAAACTGAATATTAATTGGCCAGAAACTGAAATGGCGGAAACCCACAGGAATCATAGTGCAAGGATCACTTGTCTGAGGTAACTGAAAAACAAATAACTGTTGCAGTATTGCTCACTCTCATGTAATTATAATTATTCTTAATCTGTGAAGAGAATTAAGGGTTGAAAATTAAGCCCTTGATTTTATTTCGCTATAAAACAATGACCAAGAGAGTAAAAGTTATATGTTTTACTGTCTTATACTATAGTTATATTTATACTTGTCCTTTTCCCTGAATCACGAGTCTCTCAATTTCTCCATGTGTCTACAACACAACTGCAGTGCTAAACTGCTAATGCAGATAATGCTACGCTGCTACTTAGATTCACTCCTTTAATAGCTGAAATAGCAGCGGTTGAGATCTCTAACGTATTATTTATTAATTGTGCAGGTTATTTTCTCTGACTGATACCCCACTGTTTCGAAGTGATACACAAATAAATGAAAAAGCATTAGTCACTTCAAGCACTGACAGAACAATCCGTCTTTGTTGGAAGGTACCTCATTTCAACATTACAGTACCCTGCTGGTACTGCTCTCCTTGCCTACAGCATGTGCATTTGCTTATGAATATCTGCAATTTTTAACATGCTTTGAAGGCATAACCCCACAATGACAAAACAACAACGAGAAAGCCTTTCCCTGTTTCAAAATCATAAATAAAGTGAGATTAATTTGCATCCGCCTCACATATTGTCATCTTATTTTTCTTCCTACAATATTGTGAGGACCTTCACTCTGCACCAGCTCTGGTAGCTATTATATAAAGTTGTGCTGCTGTGCTTCCTCACCTTGCCTTGTCAGCCTTCCATGTGCTTCCACAATCCACACGAGGCTATTAACATGCTGCTCTTGCTTTTGTACGACATCTTCTGTTCCTCCTTTAGGTGGCGTTTGGTTCATGGGATAGAGAGGGTGGGAAAGGAATATCATAACCCTATGGCCTCATAACCCATGTTTGGATTCTTGGATAGGGATATTCTGTGGGTTTGGGTTTGGGAAACTAGAGCCTACTATCCCACCAAAGCTATCCCGAAGGGGAGGGTGGGTTACGAATGGAAAACACCACCTGTGTCGTCTCCTTTCGTTGGCAGCCGGAGGAGGCCCATGACGTCACCGGCGCCGGCACCACAGCCTGCGACATCCGACTCCGCCCGCAACAGAGGAGCGTGTGGTGCCAATGAGGCGCAAGGCTTGAGGCTGAGGACTGCCCCTTTTTGCGGCTGCCGCAAGGGGGCCCAAGTGCGAGAGCGAGCACATGGCTACGTGATGCGCAGAGTAGAAGCCGCTGCCACCGCCGCCACGGAGAGGGACGCCGTGGCACTGGCACTCCCGGCTGCCATATCTACCGAATGGGACCGAAATGGACTGCTCTGGTGGCGGCGGCGCTCCCCACTAGAGAGAACGGAGCAGAGCAGAGGAGAAGAAATGGATAAGATTCACGAACTCGAGCTAGGGAGATTGGAGGCGAGGAAGAACTGCTCTCATGCGCCGCCCGCGTGGGATCTCGAGGCTGGAGCCGTCGACACGGAGCTGCTGGAGGCGCTATTGGCCTTCAGGACTGGACCTGGGTCTGACGGAGAAGGAGGCATGGAGCCAGCAACGAGTTCACGAGGAAGGAAACAAAGGCATTTTTTTTTGTTTTTATATGTGGGTCCCACCACATAACCCAACCCCACTCCAAAAGAAACCAAACATGGGAAATGGATAAAATCTCATATCCTCATCCCTAACCCACACCATCATAACCCATCTCATTTCCTCAACCCAAACCCAGCAGCTATCCAAACGCCACCTTAAGGATTAACCTCTTACATGGTATGCTTAGTTGCTTCGAGCCTCTTCCTAGTATGCTTAGGTGCTTGTAGATCTGCCATGGCATCAAATTACTATTTGAAATCATAACAATGCCCATATACATGTTCCAAAAGATTGAGATGACATAGTGGACTTTATTATTATTTGTAGTAGCATGAATTTTGGACAGTGTAAGTTATAAAAGCACATCTGCTGTGTTCTATGCCATGGTTTTGAAAGAATATATTTTAAACCTTTTCTTTCTTTCGAGACACGATTGTAGTTCCAAATCCCACTGTTACACAGATGAATGTGGATACTGCTTCCATTTTTTGATTCCCTTTTCAAATCTCCATGTCTATTTATGATAAGCTTTCTTTCTCAGCCTCTGGTATGGGTTTACCCCCTCTGATACAGGTTTTGCCCATTGTGATGTGATATATGAATGCAAACCCTCATGATTTTTTTAGACCAAATACCGCAAACCCTCATGATTGGATATCACAAGCTTCTCTACATGATTTTACTTAAAACATTGTCCAATTTTTGTAGTATGAGTCCATTGCATACACGCCTTTTAGTTCACATTTATCCCCATTGGACACATCAACTGATGTTATATTGGCCCTCAACATTTTTTTTACGTAGGGTTATTCACGCTGTTACAAGGGCCATTCAGCGCCTGTCACTGCTCTGGCTGACAGATTGCTTATGGATGGTGAATCTAAAGTACTTGCAAGTGGAGGGGAAGACTGCACCATTCGCCTATGGTCTATGAGTACGAGGGCAAAAAATCACCCTCTAATAGCAACATTTCATGGGCATGAAAAGGCACTGTCATTTTTATCTGTAGCGTGGTATGTACTGTCAAACTATCTGAATGAAGTTCATTATACTGTTACAATGTGTATTGTACTGCTATCCAGAACATACATGTGCTGGCACTCTGCTTCAAGTAATAGTTTTCATATATAATGTGATTCTCATAGTAGTTGCCTTCAGCATATGTTTCTTACTTCGCACTGCTTCATGTACCATTATATGTTGAAGGAGAAAAGGTACTCAAAGCATGCTATGACATCTTCAGACCATGGTCATGAAAACAAATTTCTAGTTTTAACCATTTTCCTTTCTTTTTATCTTTCAGGCATAAGTCCTCCCTATTGGTGAGCTGTTCCAAAGACTCAAAGGTAATGGGGCATCTGTCGCAAATATATCTGGCAAACCACAATAAGCAAAAAAAAAAAAAAAAAAAACACTTTAAAGATAAATTTGTCAATGACCATATCTTCTCTTCTTTTTCACTGGCTTTACCTTAGCAGTATGTTTATCGTCTCAGACAGTGCTTTGATGCCGATGCAAGTCCTTTTTCCTTAGGAACCATGTTACATTCTTTTCATGCTGTTATGTTGCATCAGGTTAAAGTTTGGGACACAGTGGCTCCTTCCAGTGGTTCATCATCATGTGTAGGCAGTACTCACCTCAACTCAAATGGGCCACCAATTGCTATGAAATGCCATGAATCCCTTTGCTATATCGCTGCTGGACCTGAAGTAACAGCGATTGACTTGAGGACAATGAAGAAGGCTTCTGTTCTTGCACTCCACAACCATAGAATACTTTCTTGTGAGATGCTGCCTTCTAAATGGTTAATATGTACTGGCACGAAAGACAAGTAAGCTCACAAAATCCTTGCAGGCACTGGTCTTCATTTATCCTTGTAGCTTTGACTGAGATCATTAAACCTACATTACTACTCATCGTTGTTTGTTGACCAGGGCTCTTCTGTGGGACATCCGTAAGGCTCAAGAACTCCCAAACACAGTGGCGGAAATGCAATCAGATGGCCCAGTGACATTGCTTCACTTGGATCAATACAAGGTGGTGACTGGAGTGCCGTCAGACGGCCAGGTCCATGTCTGGGAAACGCGGACAGGGGACTTGTCGAACACGTTGGGCTGTGGCGAACCTTCAAGATCAGGCGTGCAGAGTAGGGTGTCAGCCATGGCTGTGGACGGGTGCAGGATTGCCATGGCAGGCAGCTCTCCAGAAGGCAGCGTATTGCACTACCGTGACTTTATGACGTCTTCTGCCCCTGTATCTTTGCCAGGCAAGGAGAAGGAGGTCTCCAGGTTCTGGAGACCCCAGCAATCCGAGGACAGTGAGGACGATAGTGAGGAAGAAGACTTTTGATTAATTCTCTTATCTCGTTGAGCTTCCAGTTTTGGCTTCCTGCAGTTGTAACTTGTATTGTATGACAAGACTCAAGAGAGAGAAGTTTGTATATGAGCGTGGTTTTTTGAGTTTATGCATTCTTTTGTGAAGATTAATAAGTACATACATCTGGTCCCTGGACTATGCAGTATATTGTATATAGGATATGTGCCAAGTGAAGTGAGCATCCCTTGTTAAAAAGAATGAGCATCTGTCAACTGGGCCTGGGTGCACGGCGTGCTTGCGGCGTGCGTGCACGTCTGCAGGGTACTACAAGATGCTAGAAGTGATACCAGAGGCTACATTACCGTGGGCGCCGCAGGTGTTGATCAGTATACCGCTGTGTGTGTTCTGTTTGTGTTGCTTTGGACTTGGTGAGGATAATGCTAATGCTACGGGTAATGCGCCTCTGCTTTGATCTTTGTTTATGCCTGCTACTCCAAAACTTCGTGGAACAACCAGACAATCCCTATGCTTTATATGCAGCAAAGAATTCTATATAAAAGAAATAGAAATGCAAAAGCAATTAGCTTAACAAAAGTACTTGCATTGATACACACCCAGACAGGTCATCGTCACAGGCCTTTTATCCTTTGGAATCCTGTGTGGACGGCGACAAGAGCTATGGCAGCATACTGTATTTGTAGAGGGCACGTGGCTCTGCATTGTACATGACAAAATAAGCATGCAACAAGAAGGCAGAAGGCAGAAAAGGACCCCAGCAGGCCCCTGCAAGTTTTCCAGAGCTGTTGCCCAGCCCACAGGTGAGAGCGTGGGAAACTCCAGCGAGCCAAAGCAAATCGCTTTTAGCCCACAGGCTTGGCTGCCCTGCCCAGCCCACAGGAATGTCTGATGCGATGGTCTCTGGTTTGGTTCCTCTTCGTCTTCCTCTCCGGCAGCCGGCAGCTTATATTATATAACTTCAGAGGGAGACTATTTTCCTTAGTGTACACCGGCGGCAACAGAATACGACGACGAAAGCGCAGTCGGAGTACTCAATTTTCTAGGGCTTTTAGTGTGTAGAGGCAGAAATACAACGCGATTAGGCTAACAAGTCATTTGTTTGGAAGGTATTTAAGTGGACCAAGCATTGTTACTGGCAGGCTGTGGCTACTACTAAGCTCTTACTAACAACATGGGCACTTTGGCATGTATAGCATTATGAAATCTGATTAGAATTCTTGGATGCAAAAGTTCCACATGATAAATATCTATTTTTGAATGCAGGAAATTTTGTACGTTCTCATAAAAAACGATTCACTAAGACAAATAAAAACATTAGGTCAAACTATTATATATTTTGTAATAATAAGATAATAGCTTAAAAAAGCCATCGATCATCATCGACCATTTGATTCGTCAGCGTGCACCAAGCAAAGAGGAGTCTCATTGTGTGTGTGTGTGTGTGTGTTTTTGCCGGGAGTAGTCTTTTCTACTCCCTTTGCATTATTTCATATGGTAAAAAGATCTGAATGAAATTCTCCTTTATCCATCACAATTAACTTCACAAGCATATGCATTCCACTAGCTAGTAATGTTAAATAACTACTCCCTTTGGTGAAACGAATATTGTAGAAATCGAAATTTATAGCCTTCGCTCTTAATTTAGCTTTAAAAAACCATTTATTTCATAAGAACATAACTATAATATCTAGTAAATGTATGATTATAAAAGTATCTTTCAAGGCAAACCTACGTGCATGACTTCTATGTTTCCAAATCAAATATTTTGAATGTTCATTGATGGTTAATATATTCATACGTTTAGCATCAAATGCCGTTATTTGTGAATGGATTAGATACTAATGATGTGTATGTGCAAACTGAGTCTAGTAAAATTTAAAATGATCGATTGCACGCAATCTCAAATGTCTAGCCGGAGGGAGTATGTTGGTACAACCCGGGACGTGTAGCAAAAATCATTACTCCTAATTTCGCAATATAGAATATTCCCCGGCCACCACCTTCGCCTATAAAAATCTTCGGGTACTCCTAAGTTTCCCCAGCTCAACCAACGCCAGCACTTTCGGCGGCCGTCGTCCAAAGCTCTCTCCAAGCCCTTGCCCCTCACCCTCACACTCCCGAGAGGGTTTTGATGCGGGTGGAGTCCAGCGGCGGCCTCCCTGAGCTGGAAGACAGCAGGTGGGCGCCGAGAGACGCCGGCGCGCACGGGCGGCGGCGACAGCAGCGACGGCCGCGGCGCGGTGCGGGTGCGCCCCAACCGATGGCTGCGCCCGCCACCGCCGTGCAGCGGCTCTTCGAGGCGTGCCGCGAGGTCTTCACCGGAACTGGTCCAGGAGCTGTTCCACCGCCTGCCGGCGTCGAGAGGATCAAGTCTGTTCTAGGTAATTGATTGATTCCCAACGTCTGTCCACATAGTCTTCGTTCCAGTACCAGAGATCGTACTCGTACCCAACGTCTGTCCACATAGTCTTCGTTCCAGTACCAGAGATCGTACTCGTACCCTTGTGCGTGTGGCCATGGCCCTGCTGTGTGCGCTGTGAACTATGCGTGGTTTGTATTCGACGTTATAGCTGTGTAGCCAGCCACATGTCACATTGTATGCGATCGTAGACTCGTAGTTCATCGTTGGGCGGGGAAACGTCATGGATCCGGCCTGTGATACCTCAACTAGATCGTTTGATTTGTGAGAATTGCACTTTGGTGGAAATAAGGATCACAATTATTCAGCCTCTCAAAAGAAAAATGTTGAGGGTCTTTCTATACTCATCTAGTAAACGTGGAACTGCATGCGGTGCAGTTGCTAACTTAGACTCGTTGCTTCTTCCCACGAAGAGAATCTTTCTGCAAGTAAACTAATAAACAACCAATGGATCGGAATAGCTCATTTCCTTTTGATATAATTACTAAGGTTAGATACAAATGTGCAATGCCAATTTATGTCATGAATTTGTTGCAACTTGCAAGTAGCAAGCTATTGGTGAGAATGAAATACGAAATATGCCTGACTTGTGCAACTTGTGTTCCTGGTGGAAATAAAGATGGGCAATTGAGAACAGAAACCATGTGCTGCCCATGGTATATGCATTATGCATACATATGATGTAACTGTTGGTATTGTCTCGCTTTGTGTGGGGGTTGGATGCCGTCAAGACTAGACGTCCATCTTGGAGCTGCACTAGCTAGCTAGGGTTGTCTTTTATTTCATTTGGCCACCAAAACCTTGCGAGGTACTCCATGAATAGTTACTTAATGAGCACATTTCTCGAATGATGAGGCCAATGCTGGAAGCTGTTGTTGTACCATCCTTTTGATAATGTTTGTTTATTCATCATTGATCTACCGTGATGTTTGTGGCGAAAGATGCTTATGGTGTTATTGTTGGCCCCTGGATCTTCGGCACGGGTGAGTCGACCGCTCACCGGCGTTGTCGACCACACACTATGGCTAGAGGTAGAAGAAGGGAGGGAGAACAGAGCGCGCACACACACACAACACAAGCACCAGCATTGGCCGGAGCTCTGCAGAGGAGATGGCAAAACTGAACTCGCTCTCTTTACTGAGTTGCAGTTGGAAACTATATATACAACTCTACCCATCTAATCCTACTACACAGACATGTCAGGCTGTCATGCTGCTACAGTGATTAGATGTGACAGCAGGGCTGACTTGGCGCCGCCCGGCTTTGTGGCTACAAGTCTTGGCAGAGAGAGCCTTTCGGCGCCTGCCCTCAGAAGCTGCTACTGATGCAGTGAGAGAGGGGAGCCCTTTCGGCGCTTGCCCTGGGAGCCATGTTGTCTGAGAGGAGAGCAGCAGATTACTTAACAGTTATGTTTACGTCTACATGCATGCTAATTGGTTGTTTGGTTTTCTTTTTGGGTACACCTTAGCACACATCATATCAATATATTTTAGTTGCTCCATGCATATCTGACAAGCTACACCGTTAATCCTGCAGATACCCGGTGATAAAGCATTTTTGTTGTCTCTGTACTTTATTAAAATGGTATCCTTAGGACTTTTATGCCAACCAATCCCACATATTGGACTATCTTTAGTTCTATGATCTATCGTGTAGCTAATTAGTATGAGTCCTTGCATACGAGCTAACGCGGCTCTTCTTTGAGTTCCACAAGTAAAACTTTTTTTCATGCTGAGTTTAGCACATATTCATAATGATATAACTCATCTTTTTCTAGTCAAGTTCTAGTTAAAACTCACCTCAATCTATTTTGTTTCGTGCCGACATGTGGCAACTTCTGTACCTCATTGCCATAGGTCCAACTACAATTACGAGAGTTGCACTACAAGTTTCATACATGTGTTAGACCTTCATATTTCAAAGACCCATGCTCTCTAACGGGTATTCATATCCTTGAGAGACCGCCAATGCAATCATGTTACACCTAATGAAAACGAATTTCGATTTTGCTGATATTTGTTTCACCATTTATGTCCTGCAGATAGTATCACAGCAGCAGATGTTCGTCTAACATCCAACATGTCATATTTCCGACGTGTTGACGCCCATGGTACTCCAAAAATCACTTACTTGCACCTATACAAGTGTGAAGCTTTCTCGGTATGCTTAACCACTACTAACAACAGTTCTTGATAATTTACCATATTGTTGAAGCTGTCACATTTGTAAGCTAAGGTGTACATGGCTGTATTTATTTGTACAGATTGGCATCTTTTGTTTGCCTTCAAGGGGTGTCATTCCTCTCCATAATCACCCTGGCATGACTGTGTTCAGCAAGCTTTTGTTTGGTGCCATGCATATAAAATCTTATGACTGGGCTGCTGCTCAACAAGATACACCTGGTATTGTTGGTTCGTTTCCCTAAGCTTAACACTCTCACACATAGCTTAACAAATTGCCTTTTTTTTAGGGTTTAATTGCCTTTTCTTTTCTCTCTCCTTTGATCATAGATGTTCAATTGCAAGGACCACGTTTGGCAAAGGTGAAGGTTGATGGCATCTTGACTGCACCTCATGAAACATCGGTACTATATCCAGAAGATGGTGGTAATATGCATTGCTTTACTGCACAAAATGCTTGTGCAGTGCTTGATGTCCTTGGCCCTCCATATGATGATGGTAGTGGAAGGCACTGCCAGTACTACAATGTCTCTTCCTCTGCAATTTCTGTTGGTAAGATTTTTACCTGAGTTAAATGGCTGATATATTAGTACTTAAAGTATTGGAATATTGTTGTTTTGTAAACCAACTGTTTGCCTTGGCATAATATGTTTATGTCTTTTGCTTCAGCATACTTATCCTTGATCCCAAAAATATGTATATAAAAATTAAACTGTGGGTATAGAACAAATCAGATATTTATATGCATATCCTTATACACGTACTGCCCCTTCTATTAAATCTACATATGTCTGCCCCGTGAAATTATAAGATTGCAGTCCCATAAATACTCTGTTAGTTAAACAAGCATCATGCCCTTGTTTGTTTCTAAATCATCAGGCTCCTACCCAACTGAAAATGACAAGACTGTACTCTTAATATTGTCCACTCACACCTTAAGTTTAATTTTGATCATATTATACATTGTAACTTGTAAGCGTACAAGAAGAAAACTAAACTATTGGCGGCTAACTTGAAAAGGTGCATTTTACAGCAGGCACAACAATATTGCCTGGAGGTGACAGATATGAATGGCTGGAGGAGAGCGAGCCACCACGAAATTTTTATCTTGTTGGATCAACATATATGGGCCCAAGAATTTTGGATCATTGAACTCCTATGCTTGTGAGGATGCCTTGGCTTCTTGGAGAACATGAGTTCTGCATACGTATATTCCTGAAAGGAAGGCGACCAAATGGAAATCTGTACATAAATAACTGGGCCTCAAGGTCTGCATTGATTATCGTTAACCTGCTGGTCATCATTACTTCAACTGGGAAGACTGGAACTGCTTATAGTAATAAGCAATGAGAACAAGGAAAGTGCTTGTCAACTGAATAGGTTATGTAGACCCCTGTTTATACTCCCCCCTCCCTATTTTTCTGTATCTGCAGTCCCTATCTGTTAGAGTGTGATTCAGTCCTACTCATTCCCGGGTTGGCAAGAAGGTAGCCTAGCAGCGGTCTTGACTCTTAGTCCAAAGTCTAGTGGATCAATGCATTCACACAATATGTAGCGTAGTTACTTATCTATGAATTGTTAGAAATTTTAGAGGAAATTTCTGATGTGACACGTACAAATTGTTTGATATGAATATTGTTGTTATGCACTGTAAGTGTTTATTGGTAATTTTTATACATCTATGTATCTTTATATATATTGATGATTATTTTGATGTTTATAGTAAAAGGGTCTATATTTTTAGTTTCGCTCCAGGTCACCAAAATCTTAGTACCGGGCCTGGCTCCTGGTCGGCATTGTCAAAGTGTCGAGTAGATTAAATTAGATCAAGTTATTAGGCACTAGCACAATGGATTTGGCAAGTGGGCAGATGTTTGAGGCTGTATTTGTCCACTAAATCTAGGGGTAAAACCCTAAATCTCTCTAGCCTCCCTATGCTCGAGCCGCCAGCAGACATGCGGCCCTCCCTGTGCCTGGACTTGGTGCAGTACACTGCCACCACCCCCTACTCTCTAAGGTGCTGCTAATCCTAAGAAAGTCGTTCTTCTCCTCTAATCACTCCTAATTCTACTCTCTAATCCCTCTTCTGGTCTTTCCAGATGCAAACAATTACTTTCCACATCCTTATTTTTATCATTGAAATGTAGTGAGCAATTTTTTTCTTGAACACACGGTTCTACTGGTGGGCAAATTTAATAGCGAAAAAACCAAATTGCTGAAGCCGCTGTCGATGCAATGCAACTGAAAGTCGGTAGAGGTCCAGTAGCACATATATTGCTGCTATTTGATGCTTTTTCTGACAATAATGTCACCATTTAAGCTTTTATTGCAGCTCAAGAAGCAACCCTACTGCAACAAATGCATGTGCTATGCACCATAGATCTAGCGGAAATAACATCGTTACCTGCCTCTGTTCACAAGGAGAGTATATGGTATTTAGCAGAAAGGCAGTTGCTTTCAAATACATCTCTTCTTAGATGGGGAACTAACATCGTTACCTGCCTCTTCAGTAGTTTAACAGCTTTTTAACAGATCAGTAGATGTTTTTGGAGGAACTGATCAGAAAGAAGAAACTATGGGCCATAATGATAAGTGCTGATTGGTTGTCGTAATCCAAACTCATCAGCATACTACTCACTTCGGACTGAATTATTGTTTGTTCTTTTCCATGAGACCATGAGGACATCCCGAAGTTACAGTCATGCTTCAGTATGATTTTTTTTGAAATAATGGCAGGAGCTCTGCCTTTCAATTAAAAAGAATAGAGTTGGCCTAGATTATAAGAGAAACCAGGCCTAAAAACCTTACATACGCACGGATTAACACAGAGAAAGAACCCACATAACCATAACACAATAGTCCAGCCGACTAACCCACTTACACAGAGAGGTAGCTCACAAACTAACGGTGCCCACCGCATATCATCATTGCCGAGCTTATCACCAGCAACATGCTTCAGTATGAATACAACCTGGATCCTCACAAAATTATGAAGTGTATTGTATCCTGTTACAATGTCAATTGTCAAACATGCATTGTCACCGGAGATAAGAGAAGTCTCCTGACTTGTCGTACAATATTGTCACAGCCCAAGCTGCCTATGCAAGTGTTCACACATTACAAATCCAGAGTTGACATTTTAACTGTTTGCTGACTACAGAGGTGAGCAACCCTTACGATTTTATCCTCGTTGGTGTGACCGAATCAAATCATCTTTGGTTTCCTCACACCAACTGTAAGTAGTTGACATCTGAATTAATCATATTATTTTATTCTGATTTTATATACTTCCTCTCATCCTAATTATAGTTCACTTTGGGTTTGTCCTAAGTCAAACTTATCTAGCTTTGATCAAGTTTCTTAAAAATATATTAACATCTATGAGTTCAAATAAGTGCACTATCAAATCATATTTCATGGAGAATCTAATGAAACTAATTTGATATTGTAAATGTTGATACAATTTCTATAAACTTGGTTAAAGTTAGAGAAAATTGACCTAGAAAAAGCCAAAGCGAACTACAATTTGGAACAGAGGTGTTCTTGATGGTGCTCTGCTTGAGAAGGTCTTGGTTTACTTTCTCAGAGTTGCTTAAGCAGTACCATCTTTAGATGCTGACAAGCCATCATTTTCCCATGCTTTCCATGTAGACTTGAGAACCATCTATGCCTTTGTTGTTGTTTTGGAAGAAAATATATAGCCCAGCCGCCAAATCACCTCCGCAGGCAGAATGGAGATGCTTTGTTTTTTAAAGGATATGGTTAATTATTTCATTTCATATTTCAAATTTAGAGACTATACTATTTTACAGGGAAAGTAGTTTATAAAATTGAAAACAAACCTCAGGCTTCTTTTAAAGTAATAATCAAACCGATGCCCCTGAATCACAAACTTCACTACCTCTGAAATTTGTATAGAGCACTGCCAAACATGCCTTTATCAGATCTTTTAGGAAGTCATTGTTAAATAAGTGAGAACAATAGTACGGCTTGCGTCATTCTTATGTGCATAGAGACAAGTGGAGCTTGGCTATTTCCTGGAAGCTGACAGTGCAGCCTTATCTTTATCCCATTCCCACTGTTATCGCTAATGATGGTTATAGGGGCAGTAAACTAGCTATAGTAAATTAATAACTGATGAATCATTGCATGAAGAGTAAAATTATGGAGTGAGGCCCATGCCAAAAAAAAAAAGTCTATGCTAAGCACACAGGGTTGAAGTTGAACATGCAACTTGGATAGTACTTAGTACATTGAAACTGAGCATCCGCAAGTCAAAATTTTGACGTCGCCTACTTTCACATCTGCCTGTGCTGTCCTGTCGTCGCTTTTACCTAATTAATCACATATAAATAGCATTACACATTATTTTTGTAAGGTGCTTGATTCTTCTGTGCTGAAAAAGTGAAAACCTTTGATTCTACCTTGCTGAATTATCCCTCCACTGCAACTCAGCTACTGATCCATAAAAGTCAACTGAAGTTGACATTTTTTACGATTCACTGAAAGCTAACACTTCATCTGCACCTCAAACCATTAACAATATACGATCGTTGTTGTCTGAACCCTTTCAAGGAAGCATAGTGACTGGTGACTGGTGACTGGTGAGAATCACCAAATAGCCCTTTGTTAAGTTTACTTCATTTTGATAGATCAACAACCAGTCAAACCACATTTGTCAGTATTTGTGTGCAGTTGCTGTATAATTAGTAGCAAGTAAGCTACTATCAGCATCATCTCCTAACTAATTGCTAACAACTCAGTTAATTACAGGCAGTCCATTGTATGATATAAGCCACGACACACCACCGGTGTTCAGTTTTTAGAATTAGTAGTTAATGTAGCCTTGAATCTTGATTTTATGGGGCATCCACAGATTTGTCCTTTCCATGTCAGCGTTTAGTCCACAAATAAATTGTAAAGTCTATGTCATTACTCCATTAGGTTAGCTAAACACAGTGATCCCAGCTTGACTATGCTGGTCCCTGTTGTTTTCCAAACAGAGGTCACAATGTGCTGTCACTACAATCCAGAAAATTTTCTGGTGTTATATCTTCGGTGCTAAAGAAGGATTGTTTTCAGCTATGCATGCAGGGCTGCTCAACAGCTTGATTCACAACTCTGTTCAGATTTTGAGCCTGACATCTGTATTTTTATGAGCTATTTTCATTTTTCTTTTTACCAGTGAACAAACGGAGATGAACTACATGTTTGTTTTACACCGACAACAACCAAACACCATTATTCAATAGTGCCATGACTTGGTTATAGCTAGGGACTAGGGTATTTCAAAAACACATCGGTCTGAAGATTACACGGTGACAGAGGTGGCCGTCATAGTCATATAAAGTAGCCTCTCAAGTTTCTACACAGAAAGTGAAATAGCAACAAACAGTTCTTTTACACAATAAATTCCATGTACTTGACCGCTTTTGTTCTTTTGATGGATTCCTTTCCACATGCAATCAAAAAAAGTGTTGTTCAAGTCTTGATCCTGGTCAAGCAACTGCTAAGAGTCTTCCGAGGAAAATTACTGTTACTGTTCCAAATCTGACAACAAGGTGTCTTATGGGGGCTGAAATGTATGATCTGTAACAGTTGAATTACATACATACTATATATATATTTTCCCGTCATTAATCTTCAGTTCAGTCCTGGTGTGGCAGATCCATGATCTGACACTTTCATAACTTCTGACAAATTGTTGACCTCGAGTATTTGAATGCACAGGTCGCAAGAACTCGCTAATTGATATTCTATTCGGTTCGATCGTGGCTAAGTGACATTTCAGTTCTTCCCATAGGGCATGATGCAGCTCCCTGAACCGATCCATCCATGTGAAAGACGACTTTTTAGCAGGATGATCTCCGCCTTCTGACTTTCTGCAGTTTTCTTTTTCATTCAGGAATCAGGACTCGGTAATCCACAAAATGAAAACTCCGCCAGCGGAATTTGATAGCTGGAAAAAATCGAACTCGGCGGCGAGAACCGTCGTCGTCATCGTCGTCGGTAGGGTGAGCTTGAATTTGGGACGGCTCACGGCCGGATTTGAATATGCTGATGATGTAGCAGCAGTGGCTTCCAAGCATCAAACACCCGGAAGAAGAGAACAGACAAGGGGAGAAGACATCTGTTTTCGCTTAATTTCCTTGCGTAATTGCAAGGTGGTCTTTGCTTAAGAAAAATGTGATGGAAACCCGCATCGCGCCGCCCCCACTTGAGGACCAAAGATTTGACCAGATCGTTGAAAAGGTTGGCCTCACATGACGCGCGCGTCGGCAAACAAGGTCTGCTCATCCGCTTACTGTACTTCTTTTTTTTTCCCCTGGGCGCTAGCTGTATTCGTTGAT